AAGATTTTCAGCGGTTTGTGAACCTAGTAAAACAAACTGGTATAAAGTAACTGGGAAGGAGAAATTGTGAAAAGCTTGTGTAAGTGTAATTGGGGTAAACCTCTCTGAGAAGAAAGCCAGCAAATGCAGGTGAGGGGAAGAACTTTCCAGGCAGGTACAATGGCCAGTACAAAGATCCAATGGTGGAAGAGAAGAGTCCATGGGAGAAAGGCTGAAGCATCCCTGGAGTAGTGCCTGGAGAGGCCAGCTGGGTGACAAATGTGACAGGCCAGCAGGTAGGGCATGAGGCAGACCAGGCCTGGGCTTTGCATTTATTCACCTCTATTTACAAGGTACCTTAGCCCTGGGTCCCCCAGACCTCAGCCCCCATACTGCCTTCTGGGGCGCCCTCAACCGCCTCAGGCGGGGCACCCATGAGCAGGGTCTCGTCCTCCTCTAGGAATTTGCTGAGCTGGGCCAGCTGCCGACGGACAAGGCTAGTGGCCCGGTGCACCCGGCGAACGCGCTGCAGCAGGCGCAACAGCAGGACCCGGCTGCGCTCCTGGCGCTCGCTCCAGGCCTCACGCAGCTCCCGGTAGCAGTTGTGGCTAGCACGCTGGGCTGGACCCAGGGTGGCCCCACAGCCCAGAGAGCAGCGCTGCTGAGCACCTGGCTGGCAGTGCTGCTGGTGCTCACTCAGGGTGCCACGAGGCACCTGTGCAGTGCAGCCCTCATTAGGACAGGCCATCAGCTCAAATGGGCATGAGTCCTGGTGCCCCTTGCGATGAGCCAGGGGGCATGTCACCAAGCAGCCTGCTTCGGCATTCTTGCACTGGAGATGGAAGGAGAGCACTGTGTGAGCCAAAGATGGTCTTGGTTGGTTTTGCCAGCTGCATCTCTGGTACCCCCACCCCTGGGGTTTTGGTCACCAGGAGCCAGTGAACTGACAACCTCCCAATTTCTTCTGACTCTAGTGAAGGGATAGGGCGAGAACTGGGCAAGTGCTTTAGCGGTATCATAGAGATCCCAGGAGTGGGGGCCTGAGTCTTGGAGTACTGGGAGGTACATGGCTAGGTTGGCCTGCTGAGTGATATACATAAGCCACTTTTGCAGTTTTTGGCCGGGGCTGGGTTTGAACCCGCCACCTCTGGCATATGGGGCCAGTGCCCTACTCCTTTGAGCCACAGGCACCGCCTATTTTTAAAGGTGAGGTCTCCTCCGTCTAGCTCAGGCTGGTCTTAAACTTGTGAGCTCAGGCAATCCATCTCTGGCCTTCCAGAGTGCTAGGATTACAGGCATGAGCCACCTTGCCTGGCCTGGTCACTAGACTTTTGTGGTCTATCTAAGTAACTGTGTTGGTGGATCCCCCTATGTTTTTGTTCAGGAGTGCCATAGCTTTCTTAGTCCTTTATTCATCCATATAAATTTTAGGAGTAATATGTCATAGTCTTCAAACTTTTCTGGGATTTAGTTGAGATTAATTAAATGTATAGATCAACTCAAGAGAACTTCCATTTTTATGATATACATATTCTCACCCATGAATACAGCAGGTCTGTCTAGTTTGGTCTTCTTTTATATTCTTCCACAAAGTGTTGTAATTTTCTGGACAAAGATTAGGCATATCTTTTGTTAGAGATCCTCTAAATCCCATGACTTTGTTGTTCTTATTACTGGTGACTTTTCGAAAATAAAAAGGCTGCTTGTTTGTTGGCATAGTGTAAGGATGCAATTTGGTTTTTGTATTTCCATCTTGTGTCCAGTCCCTGTGCTCCACTCCTCAGCAGCTGCATTAGGTAGTTTATATGTTCTCTGTCTCACAATTTGTGAATAATGAACATTTTTGTTTCTTATTTACCAGTTCTCACACATTAAATTTCTTTTTCTTGTCTTACTGCATAGCTCCAAGTAGATGTGATGACTGTGAGTGTTCTTGTTACGTTTCTGACTTTTACTGGAATGCGTCTACTGTTTTAAAAATAATCAAGACTTTGTAGCAGGTTTTTTTTGTAATCATACATGTGCTATGCTAAGGAGCTCCCTTTTATTCCTATTTCATTAAGAGTTTTTGTCGGGAATGGACATTACATCATATTAAGTGACTATTCTACATCTATTTAGATGGTCTTATGTTTTTTCCCTTCAATTTCCTTCCATTTATTATATTGGGAATAAATATATCAGTTATTTCTAACACAAATACTGGAAGAAAGTAATTTTGCTCACATAGTTGGAGGTGAATAGCTAGAATTACTTCAGTCTTTACGGAGGATTTTTCTTATAAGGAAGTAAATGAAGAGCAACTAAATGAGAAGCGAAGGCTTTTTATTTTCAGAGCAAGGGAGTCAGTTACTGTCACTGGTGTTTTGACGGAGACTCAAAGGCAGGCAGGTGAGTGGAAAGTTCTGATGCAAATGCTTTATATGGAGACTCCCTTCTGGAAAAGGGAAGGATCAGGGAGCCCTCACTGGAGCTGCAGGTGCAGGAAAGAAGGGGCGGGCTCAGGGAGAAGCTACAGGTCCAGGGAAGATGCCACAGGCTCAGGAGTGAAGCTACAGGCACAGGGAAGAAAGTTCAGGCACAGAGAAGATGCCTCAGACACAGGTGGAAGCTGCAGGCGCAGGGAAGAAGGTGCAGGTGCAGGGAAGATGCTGCAGGTGTCGTGAAGAGGCTGCAGGTGCAGGGGAGCTGCAGGTGTCGTGAAGAGGCTGCAGGTGCAGGGGAGCTGCAGGTGTCGTGAAGAGGCTGCAGGTGCAGGGGAGCTGCAGGAGCAGGGAAGAAGCTGCAGGTGCAGGGGAGATGCAGGCAGGCTAGTGAGCATCCTGTGTGGTTGGTTAGGGTACTTATATGTCTTCTCTGTTGGTCTTAAGTTAGAAACAGGAACAAAAATTAGAGAAGCTATCAGTTATTAATTAAGTCCTGACCACTGTGGGCTGATTATTACAGCCTCAAATGTCTTCCCAGACTGGTTGCTAGAGAAAGAGGTCTGACTTCCTGCAAGTCTGATTTCCAGACTGCGGGCTGCCTTGCTGGGTAGGCTGCTCCAGACCAGGGCTCAGAGCTCTGTTTTTAAATATGGTCTGGCCATTGTCTGTGTGTCTGTTTGGACTTTTGCTTGGGAGAAGTCTCAGTTTCAACTCCCTATTATTGAAGGCCATGGCTTTTCTCCTTCTCCCGTAGGAACCTCAGATTCCAGCGCCTCACCTGCCAAGCACCCAGCTGTGCTGTCTGCTCCTTCTGTTCCTTGGTTTTTTGTACTGGTTCTCAGTTTTCTTTTGGTTTCTAGATCTTGGCACCCCCCCGACAACACCTCTTTTCCCTCCCTCCCTTCCTCCCTTCCTCTCTGTCTTTCCCAGTTTCCTGCCTTTAAAGGAATATTTGTTACCTTTTATCTACTGTTTCTGTGTGCTTGTGGCAGGAGAATTCTCAGGTTATCTAGTCTGCCAAGTTGCCTATACCAGACATTTCCAAGCATCTTTCAAAGTGGGAAGTTCTTTCATTCATTTTTTACTCAAAAACATTCATTAACTGTGTCTTTCAGAGGGCTCCCGCTGGCAGCCCTGAACGGGATCTAGCCCTGTCATGATTTTGTTCAAAATGAATCTGAAAAGGGTTTGTTAAAGTTCTGATGCAAATGCTTTATGTGGAGACTGTCTTCTGTGTTCACCAGCTCTTTAAATGTATGGTAGATTGTTTTGCAAAACTATCCACAATTATTTCACTCCCTGTACCCTCACACCTTTGCCATGCAGTGTGGCGCTGCCCGTGAAGGGCTGGCCCACCCTGTCACCGGGTAGGCCAGTGGCCTGCTTTGTCCAGTAGAATGTGCTGTCTCCCAGCCTGGGCCTCAGGGGGCCCTGTCCATTTCCAGTCTTACCCTTGGAACGGCCTGCTGCCCTGGGGTGAGCCTGGGGTAGCCTGCTGGAGGGTGAGGGGCACATGGCCCAGCCTCTGTGCTGCAGCCGCCACACAAGCCCTGCTGAGGCTGACTGAGCTCACCCCAAGCCCCCACATTATAAGCTAAATAAATAGCTGTTGTTTTGAGTCACTACGTTTTTTGGTGTTTTGTTAAGTAGCAGCAGCTCACTGGTGTGGCTGGGGAGCTGCAGCGTCTGAGTTTGCCACATTTAGCCTCTTGGATCCACTCCTGGTGCCAGGCCCTGCATACCCAGCCTGGGGTGAGTGAGAGGAAGCACCCCGGCCACAGGTGACTTGGCCACTGTACCAGGTTGGTCCTGAGAGGCATGGAGGGGTTGCTGTGGGCATTTGGGTCTGCAGAGTGAGTTGCTGCAGGGGAGCAGGGGAGCCCTTCAACTTCAGGGACAGGAATGGGGGGGGGTGTTTGCAGAGACAGGAGTGAGGAGCCTCAGGGGAGGGGCGGCCCTGAAGTGAGCGGTGATGGGGATGGTTAGGGTCAGACTCACGTCCTTGCGCTGGTCTGATGCTAACTTGTGGTGTGACTTGAGGAGTGCCATCTCCTCTTGGGGCCCAACCTTTCTCATCAAACAACAGAGCAGATCGGGTAAAATGCTGGTGCCTATGTCCCTAGGAGTCCCAGAAACACAGTGGCTGAAGGGGGACCTGCTTTGCTGAGCGTCCTGGGCCCTGTGGTCCTTCCTGACTCAGTGCTGGTGTCGTTTCACTGGTCATAAGCCAGGCATGCTCTTCCTCCTCATCCATGCTCTGACCCAGTCACATTCTTCCAGGTTCTGTGGGCCCTGGGCCCTGGCCTCAGACAAGGCCCAGCACACCAGTCAGTGGTGGGCTCCAAGAGGGTCACATCAGAGTCACTTCTGACCTTCATATTTGAAAGCGAGTTCCCCTTTGTCAGGAGCACCCCAAGGCCGCCAGAACCCCGTCTCCCATCCTGTGTCCCCAGCAAAGACAAGAGAGGGTGGCCTAAGACAGCGCCCTGAGCTGCTCAGTCTCTGATCGGTTGTGCTTGAGGCCAGCCCCTTTGTGTCCTCCTGGGTATGTGAGTCCACACATTCCTTTCCCTCCATAGGCCAGCGAGGGAGGTTTCTGCATTTATGTAGTGCTCACTGTATACCGGGTACTACTTTAAGCTGGAAATTAGTGTTATTGCTCTCGTGGAACTCACAGTTGGTTGGGGTTGGGGGGAAAGCAATGCATTAGTAAGCAAATGTCATCAAGTCATTTTCTGATCACAGATGTGGTTTTCTGGGGAAAAGTTACAACTAAAGGCAGTGCTTTAGGAGGCTACATTGCTGCTGGGACTGGTCGCACAGGGCAGTGACGCCTGCAAGAACTCAGCAACCAGCTGGCTACTTCTGACTGCACAGGGAGGTTTACAGAGAGAAAGCAACAAACGCAAGGCTTTAGAATCTCATCTTAAGATATGGTCAGAGAATTAGAGCACTTCTATGATGTTCCTGAAACAATATCTTTTCCTTTGTAGCTACAGGGCTGATACAGCTGAAAATAAGACTCCAAATTTGATCCTAGTGCTGCAGAATTACAACACAAATTGAATTCATAGCCATGATAAATCTGTTACGTAAAATCAGGAACACTGATCAGAAAAGAGGAGCCGAGAATGAGAACCGGGGCCTGTTACTGAACTTGGATGAGTCTGAAAAACAGCTTTTTTTTTTTTTTTTTTCCTGTCTGAAGAGATGGGTCTTTCCTTTCTTGAAAACCCTGCAGTGAGCTCGCATGAGTTGGTTTTGCAAGAGGATACCGAATTCTCCTCAACATTTACCCTCCACCCCTCACGGCCTTCAGAGCCCCTGGAAGGACATCAAAAATCTGACTCAGGAGAAGATGACTCCAGGCTTCATGAGGGTTTTCTTATGACTGGCTGATTGAGGGAAAGGAAACGTGGGCTTGTCTTACACCTGTAGAAAAGGCAGTGTTAGCAGAGGCTGCAGCGCCATGTGGAAACTGTGTCCCTTTGATTGGACAGAGAGGTGGCCGCAGGGGTGCATCTATACACCCAGACCCTAGGACTGGAGACTAGGGGGAAGACATGTGGGTGGACTTCCCAGAGCAGGCATGAGGAGCAGAGGACTGCTCACACAGGCACCCCCGGAGGAAGGGGCAGCTGGTCATCAGGACTGTGACAGCCAGTCCTTTTCCATGCTTGCCAATTCTTTCAGATTGGAGCCTCGTAGAGGGAGATATACGTGGGCCAGACAATGTGGACTGTCCCTTACTGATGCTAATCCAGCTAACTGCTGCTGTGAAAAGCCCAACCTAGCAAAGCGCAATGTTAGGACATGGCCGAGGCACCCTTCTCTGTGGGACCAGCCAGCCACCTGTTGGTGGTGTGAGTGCATCAGACCCACCCAGCATTATCCGCAGTGGAGTATGTATTTCTTCTGGGTATGGAGCTGCCGTCCCTGCTTACAAGACTTACCAGCTATGCATCTGTGGGCTTGTGAAGACGCTTCCTTCCCCATTTCTTCTGCTCAAGGTTTATGCAAAGTGGACAGTGACAGACCCACACCTGTACATTTTCTTGGCTTGCTGTCTACATCACCGCCCAGGATCAGCTGTGAGTCTGGGCCACCCGATAGAGAATGTTGGAACTGTCCATTGAAGACTTAGCTGTGGTGCCAGCGAGGATAAAGCACCTATGAGGCCGGGATGCTGTTTGTGCCTCAAACCTGTGACCAATAAATGATGCCTTTTATCCAAAGTCAGAGTCACGGGTCTGGGAGAGCCGCTCCTCTCCACCCGTCCACACGCTTATAAACGTCTGCTTCTCATCTCTGACCAGTGTGGACTCTGGGTCTCTGACCAGTGTGCAAAGAAGTGGGCTTTTGTATTTGCTGAGGCGACTGATCCTGCTTACCGAGGAGAAATGGGTACACTTCTGCTGATGAGGACAGGGAATATTACGTGTGGAGCCCAGGGCACTCTTGGAGTGGGGGAAGTTCTTCATATTTCTTGTCCAGTAAAAAAAGTTAAAGGAAGACACTACGGCAACCCCACAAAGTCATGGCTTCTGGGGATGCAGATCTTTCAGGTAAGAACTTCAACTGAGGGGCTGGTTGAAAAGGGCACTTAGAAAGGACAGTAGGAGGAGGAGATGAGAGACTTAACTCCGGGCTGGGAGCGGCGGCTCCCTGTACTCGGGAGGCTGGAGGGCAGGACACTTAAGCAGAGAGCCTGGGAGGGGGGGTTCAGGGAGAGGCAGACCTGGAAGGCCATGGGGAAGCTGTGGGGTACTCCACATCTGTGCATCTGTGCAGAGTGGTAGGGAGAGTAATTTTGACATGCATTGCTGGCTGGGTTAGGAACAAGACCACCCCAAAGGTTGGAAGTTGGAGGAAATCCTTAGTCCGAAGTCTCAGATTCTGAGCTTTTCTGAATGTGGCCTCTGCAGAGACAGGCAAGTATTTTGGCCTGTAGGTAGCAGAACAGGAATGATGTTTACAGCGGCTCTTGGTCTCGGCACTACTGATAATTTTTGTTGTGGGGCTGCCCTGTGTAGTGCAGGACGTTCAGTGTCATCCTGGGCCTGGACGGGTGACAATAAGAGTGTCCAGACACAATATCCTTCTGAGTCAGAACTACTGGTTTAAGGAAGGAAGTAAAGGATGGGTTATTTCCTTGGGACAAAAATCATAGAAGGGGCATTATGTCATGCAAGGATATGAACATTTTCTTAAAAATAAATGTAATTTCTAATTATACTATTAATGCATTTATAGCTGCAGAAAACTTGGACAATGCCGAAATGAGCAAAGTAAAAAACCCAGAAAAATTGCCCCATCACACCATTCAGAGATAACTG